ACTCAGTATCCATGAAGAGGTTTAGCCACTGGCTGTGCAGAGCATATGCAGCTTCTGATGATCTCTTTAGGTCGTCATTCGTCGGTTGCTGTCGGCCTTTATGTCGGCGGTCATATATAATGGCCATATCAGAGTCGGTACTCTGTACCACAACCCAGTGGTATCGGGTGGGTTCGCTTATGTGCACCATATTCACTGTACCACTTAGTATCTGGGTCTCGTCAGATTTCTCATCAGAGCGTCGGGACAACGCATCAGCGTTGGAATGTTTAGTCCCTTGTTGGTAATGGCACGAGAACGTGAATTATTGAAGCGTTTCCTTCCATCTGGTTAACTGTCCTTCTGCGCCCTTCATCGTTTTTAACCATTTTAGTGCCTTCTGCTCACTTCGGACGACAAAAGGTTTTCCAGTAAGGAATGCACAGAACTGCTAGCTATTGAGACAGGCAATAGATGCCGCTAGCCATATATAAGAACGTGCCACGATAAGCCGAATCCAATACTCTGAGTATGACGAAGTCGGTTTCATACCCAATCTAATGAACAACAACAATTAGAGCACGATGTCTACTGCTGATTCGACACGCACACCAGTTAAAGTGTAGCGGTTTAACATTTTTACACCAATTTAAACAAATGTGATAAATACAAGTTACAGGAATGTGCAATAACTGGAATTAGTCTAGGAAGTTGGGAACAAATGAATGTACGAAAACGTAAATAAATACAAATTTGGCAAGGGGCTATCCCAAAGCTGTATAGTAAACCTTCTGAGGGCAAATTTCGCGGTGGTATGTGCGATAAGTACGTGGTGCTTTAGACAGCGTATTACCGACGATGCATATCGCTCGCTCGTATCTAGTGGAATCGGCCAGCAATAATACTGCACCCATGGCCAACTTGCCACCTTCTGTGTCAAGGATAAACGTTGGTGCATCGGCGTGCATGTTCGGTAGTGTGAGTATAGGCTCTGACATCAAGTAAGCTTTTACTTCGTCGAAGCACTTTGGCACTCAGGGGTACAGTTAAATTGTCAGCCTGTCTCCGATTCTGATGCAGTGGTTGGCAGACTGAAGCGAAATGTGGAAAAAATATTCGACAATGCGGTGCCGATCCAGGGAAACTGCGCAGTTTAATTACGAAGTTGAGAGTGGTCTATAATTGTACCGCACCGGATTTCTCCGGGGAAATATGGATGCCTTTTCTACATAGCTCATATCCCAGATATGTAACCTTATCGCAGATCTGAAGGCTACTACTGCACAGCTTACCGCGCAGGCAGCATATCTTCAACAGCGAGCAACGTTTTCATCTGAGAGCCCGCCGAGGTCATCCACTTCTCGTGGTCCCACTGCACCCACCACCTGCCGTTACCATACTACTTTCGGTGTTAAAGCCCGTCACAGCATTTCTCTATGCTCCTTCACTTCCATTCGGAGCAAACGGGTTAAACCGGTCCATACGAAGATTAATTTTACCGATCTTTTTGACATTTCTAAACCCGGTCGCACCTTTTACGTCTACGACAGCAAAAGTGGCAGACTGTTCTTGGTTAACACTGGCATTCAATTGAATGTCATTTCTCATTCAACAGCAAACGGTCGGTCTCCCAACCCCGGTTTCTTTAATCAGGCCGTCAAAACCTCGCTTACTGCCACCTTCGGTAACTGTTCGCTCTCGTTGGTCAACGGTTTACGGCCTCTTTTGCCCTGGGTGCCTGTAATTACTGACGTGCCCTGTGCCATAATTGGTGCAGACTTTCTCATCACTTTCGGCCTCATTGTCTACTGCTGCCGTTCCCGTTTAATTGATGAGACTGCGAAGCTGACTTTTCCAGGCATTCCTTCATCTGAAGTGTCCCGCAAACTTGTCATCTTGGAATCTTATCCGGATAGTTCATTTCGCCAACTTGTTGCGAGATATCCTGGTCTCACTCGTCCCAACTTCAGTGTCTCTAAACCACGGCACGATTTTGTGCATCAAATCCGGACCACTGGCCTTCCTGTGTTTTCTTGCCCTCACTGTCTCGCGCCTGCACGTTTTACTACTGACAAGGCCGAGTTCGAGCATAAATATAAAATATATTTATTTATCTGAAAAACGTCGCTATCCCGTACCGCTACCCTCTTCCACATCCTCAGAATTTTGCCAGTGCTCTATTCGGCAAGTCCGTGTTCTCGAAAATCGCTCTGGTCCAGGTCTCTCACCAAATTCCTATCGACCCGGAGAACGTTTCGAAGACGGCCGTTACCACCACATTTGGCCTCTTTGAGTTCTTGCGCATGCCGCTTGACCCGCTGACGACGTTTAAGTTGTCACTCCAACCATCGGAGACCACATAGAGCACCTTGCAACGGTGTTTACCGCCTTCAATAATTTGGCATTGTCCTTAACCCTTCCACGTGCGTTTTTAGCGTTCGCTCTCCTCAGCTTCTCGGACGCTTCGTCGATACCAACGGTATCCATCCGCTCTCTTCCAAACTTGTAGCCATTCCAGATGTCCCGCCTCTCTCTTCCGAGCGTCAATTCCAGCGATTTTTGGGTATGGAGATTTTTTTCTGTCGATCTCTCTCTAACTGTGCCGACAGTATTCTTCCGCTCACAAACCTCCTTTCGGGTCCCAAAGGTTCGTTCGAGCTATCTGCAGACG